AATTACTTTTATTGATGATTTTTCTAGATTTTTTATGTTTATTTGATTAAATATAAAGATGAGGCTTTTGAAAATTTTAAAGGTTTCAATGCGGAAGTTGAAAATCAACTTAGTAAGAAAATCAAAATTATTAGAAGTGATAGCGGAGGAGAATATTTGTCAAATGTCTTTAATGAATTTTATGAAATAATGGCATCATTCATCAAGTAATTGCTTCATATAACCCTCAACAAAATGGACTAGCGGAAAGAAAAAATAGAACTTTAGTTGATGTGGTGAATGCAATGCTTATCTCTTCATCTTTGCCTTTGAACTTGTGGGGTGAAGCTTTAATATCTGCATGCTTTATTTTGAATAGAATTTCATATAAAAATAGTGATAAGATCCCTTATGAGCTTTGATTTGATAAAAACCTTCTTCGAATTTTTTTCAAAGTATTGGATTGCCTAGCATATGTTAGACTTCTAGATCCAAAAAGAAATAAATTGGATTCTAGAACATCTAAATGTGTTTTGTGGGATATTCTCATAATAGTAAAACTTATAGATCTAATTTCTACACAATTTTGGAATCTAGATATGCTGAATTTTTTGAAAATCTCACTTGTAAAAGTGAAGTGAATGGATCAAGTAGCATGCAAAATAAAAATAATCATGAAAATGATTATAATGTTGATGAAGAACATAATGATGATAAAATAATAGAACCAAGAAGAAGTAATAGAAATAGAGGAGAACCATCTTACAATTTTGAACCTGACTTTTATATTTATCTTGTTGAACCTAAATCAAAATAAAATTTTGAATTCATTACCTATAGTCTCAAATGTGGAGGAAGATCCTACATCACTAAATGACGCTTCGGCTTCTCAAGATATAATTTTTTGGAGAGAAGCTATTAATAATGAAATGGATTCCATTACAGCTAAAAAACTTGGAAATTACCACCAAGTTCTAAACTCATTGGTTGTAAATGGATTTTTAAAAGAAAAATGAATTATGATGGTTCTAGTAATAATTTATAAAGTAAGATTAGTTTCTTAAAGTTTTAAACAAAAAAAAGACATTGATAATTTTAACACATATGCCCCTGTGGTAATAATTGCTGCTAGTAGATTGCTCTTAGCAGTGGCCTCTACTAATCATCTAGTCATACATCAAATGGATGTAAAAACTGATTTTTAAATGGTGACTTAGATGAAGAAATATATATGGAATAACCCAAAGAGTTTGTAATGCCAGATCATGAGAATAAAGTTTGTAAATTGGTTAAATCACTGACTAAAACAAGCACCTAAATAATGGCATAAGAAATTTGACAATGTGTTGATGTGAAATGATTTTAAAAGAAATAAAGTTGATAAATATGTGTATACTAAGAAAATAAATTCTTTATGTATTATAATTTCTTTATATGTGGATGACATGCTTATCTTTGGCTCTAATCTAGAAATTGTGGAGGAAACTAAAAAGTTTTTCGCATCTAACTTTGATATGAAAGACTTAGGAGAGGCTGATGTGATACTTGGTATCAAAATAGTGAGAAAAAAAATACTAATCTTGACTCAATCTTGCTACATTGAGAAAACGATTGATATATTTGAGCATACTGATAGTAAGCCACTATCTACCCCTATAGATCCTCATATTAAGTTAAAGAAAAATGACGGGAGTTGTATATCTCTACTAGGAACTATCAATTATGGCATAAAATATGTAGGTTATCCCAGAGTTTTGGAAGGGTATAGTGATGCTAATTGAAATTATGAAATCTAAAATTCACTATCAACATTTGGATGGATATTTACATTAACGGGTGGTACGATATCATGGGGGTCAAATAAACAAACGTGTATTTCACGCTCTGCGCTGCTTCAATTGCTCGACATGAAAGACGATCAGCTCCACAACTTTTTGTACCATATCTTCCAAAACCAAGTTTTGTACTGTCCGGTTCGCAACCCCTACTACATCTGCCTTTACAATATTTAATATGGAGTTTGAAATTGTTGCTTTAGACTCTACCAGCAAAGAGGCTGAATGACTAAAAAAATTGTGTGACATTCCCATATGACTAAAATTAATACCTGCAATAACAATATATTGTAATAATCAAGCTACTATTGTGAGAGTTGTAATGATGTATATAATGGAAAATCTACATATATTATGAGAAGACATAACTCCATTGAAATGTTAAATGGGGGCAGAGTAATTAGTGTAGAATATGTAAGATCAACAGAAAATTTGGCCGATCCTTCGACTAAAGGCTTTGCAAGGGATGACATTAGTAAGATGTCAAAACTAATAGGGTTAGAGTCCATTAAGTAATCATCTATAGTAGGAATTCAACTTAGTCTTTTGTAACTTCAAAACTCTAAGTTCAATGTGGTAAACACAAACTGTATGTACGATTAGTTTGGTCACTAGACGATAAAATATAAAAACCCTCATTCTAAGGAAATCCATACAGTAGATAAGTCTAGTGATGACTTGTATTTTAGTAGGATGAGCTATGCTCTTAATGTTGCCTATAGACTGTATTTATAAGTTGAAGTGTTTTATATACAGGGGCACCCTTGATAGACACACCTATATAAGTGTGGAAGTGAGGCCGCTTCTTATGAAATTGACTTGTCTCTAGAGTACTTATGAAATTGGGATATAAGTACAAGGCCCTAAACGTGCTGACAGCTAAAAAGACACGAGAGTTAAATACTGTTTGTGAGTTATACTACCCATCTGTTAGATAAGCAACCTGGTTTAAAGTTATATGTTATCACGATACTTGATGAACTTTGTAGTGTACACTCTAAGTGAAAGTTTAAATCGAAAGATACTTTCATAGTATGCAAATAATATGTTTCCTATGTTTTGTTTTGTTATTATGAAATAGTTGAGGAAATGGTTAGTATTTTTTGTTTGAAAAATGCTTAACTGTAGTTCAAAACAACAACTTTGGTTTTATGGTTATTTCCTAAATTGCTTTGTAGAGAGAGAAAGATGTGGGTTTGAGTCCCACATTGAAGATGAGAGAGTTTGTTGTGTTGTATTTAAGAGTACGCATTCTCATGTAATGTACTCTAAGTACAAATGAGACATATGTGTGGAGCACGCGAAGCACACACGCATGTGCATGTGTGTGCATGTGCCTTGGTACAAGGGCGCTTGATGACGCACGCTCGCATCGACACCCCTCGCACGTGTATGGGTCGTGCTTGTGACTTATTATCTTTTTGTGAGCCCGGCTCGTAGGGGGTCCAACGGTCATCTAGCCATAGGGGATCCAACACGGTCATTTAGCCATTGATGCGTGTGAGACATCCAACGGTCACGGTCATCTAGCCGTTGATGCGTGTGGGACATCCAACGTTCCTCTAGCCAGTGATGAGACAGAGACTTGTATCAGGCATCAAATGCATGTAACTCATGTAACTTGTAGTTGTTGAGGTGCATGTAACCACATGTAACTTGTAGCTGTTGGGGTAGCCTCTTGGCCCTTTATAATAAGGGTCGTCCTACCCATACGATTTTGGACACTTAGAATAAGTTTTAGCCTCTTTTAATAGACCATTATCTGCAACCCCAGCAAGCAAATCAGTGGGTTAACTCTCTCTCTCTGAACTCATTTTTCTGTCTCTTTCTCTAATAAACAAGACCCCGGTGTCCATTGTGTGGGTTCCAAGCTCGGGTGCATGGAGCTTAGGAACATTGTTATAAGACCTCTCTGTTTTCTTATATCCCAAAGACGAATTGCCTTTCTTATGCGCAACAAATACTCAATCGAAAGGGGTAAATATCGTTTTGAGATATCACTCATGGGTGCTCGAAAACAAAAAGAGTTCGATATCCTATTTTTGCAAATCGTATAATTTTTTTACCACATTTCACCCAAACAAACTCCAACCACAACTTTTTCTATAAGAACAAGATTGGAGTAATTTACACTATTTATTTATTTGGATGATGTTAATTGGACATTAGCTTAAAAGAAGCTAATGACGTCTTTTAAGGTAGTGTCCAGTCTACACCATCCAAGTAAAATGGATGGTGTAGAGTATCGCAACCATATTTCTACAACTAAGGTTTTAACCTTATACAAATTATACTTTTTTGTTTAACCAATCTGATCGGCAAAACTGTTGGATAGATCTAATTAATTAAAACCAATCACATAAAATATTTGATTGATTTTCACTCAAACATAATTTTTGTTTTGGACCAAACTAACAAAGACACTTAGCTTCGATTCCACCAATTGGACTACTAATGATCCTTTCGAGTCTCGATAGCTTTAACCCCAGTTTTTTTCTCTCTTTTATATCACATCTCCTTTGATAATAACTTTTCTTTCTCTTTTTGGTGAAGATAAAAAAATGAAAGCAACATTGTCATTATGCAGCCTATTTTGACTGGCGTTGGAGGCTAACGCTTGTCCTGTTTCTATACGCATTTCTCTCATCCACTCTTCTCCATTTGTAATGGAGGGAGAGAAGGTCTCTTTTGGGTAGAGAGAGAAACACATCCCAAAAAGGTAAAATGAGTAACCTAGCTTTAGAGAGAGAAATGGCCAACTTTTGATAGAGATAGAGAGAGAGTGTACTTTGGGCAAAGGGAACAATACCATCTTAAATGGGATAACACTAGAGATAGATTTTAGAGAGAGAAATGTTGCATCAATATTCCAAATTAGAGAGTAATAAACAAAATATTAGGATTTAGGACTCTTACCTGTGTTTAGATGGATATCTTAAGCCTCAATTGTCAGTGTCCAAATGGATAAAGAGTTCTTAAAGTACTGAATCTATCCAATGTTCTTTTTTGGAACTTATTTAGAGAGAGAAAATCCAGAACAAGGAACGAATTCTAGAGAGAGAATTTCAAACAAGAACTCTAGAGGGAGAAAATTTAAGACAAGGAATCAATCCTAGAGAGAGAATAGGTTCATGGAGAGAATTCTTGCTATAAAATAATGAATCTCTCTCCAATGTTCCAAATTTTGGAAATTCTCTAGAGAGAGAAAATGGTTTCATAGGAACTACCAAGAATACTTCACGAATAAAAGATAAACAAATCTAGAGAGAGAAATAGATGAGTGTCAGAATTAGAAAGCGAGAGAGAGGGTCAATAAAGAAAGGGGGACCTGAATGTAAACATTATCCAGGCATCCATTCTCATAGAATGGTGCCTGGGTGAGTGCAGCTCTTCAGCCATGGCGTCACCCCACCAACTTCTCTCTAAACACTTCTGCTCATTGGGTTTTCCACCCTCTCTCTCTAAAGATTTTCTTTTCAATGGGTATTCAAGAAGCTACAGTGAGGGAGAGAAACACTTCTCCTTATTGGGTCCTCCACCATCTCTCTCTCGACAATTTCCTTTAAATGGGTCGAGATGCTCCACTGAGAGAGAGAAACCTTTTTGCTTATTGGGTTCTCCACGTTCTCTCTCTCTTGTAAATGGGTTCCATGGAGCGTCTAGAGAGAGAAAGAGTGACAGAAAGAGTTCATTTGAGGTTCGTTATGAGGTGGAGAGTGGAAGCGAAAGCGAAATGGAAGGTGATGAGAAGTGGGTTTCAGATGTGGCAGAGGTGCAAGCTTCAGGGGCCTCTGCTGTACCTGATAGATGGGATGTTTTGGGACTTGGGCAAGCTATGGTATGTATTCACTTCTCTTTTTCTCTCTTTCCTCTCTCTCTCTCTCTCTAAATTCATGTTTTATTTTATTTGTTTGCTAATTTGTTTGTGGATATCACATGTGGGAAAATTTATCTAGTTAGTTCTAACTTCTAAGTACAGGCCATGCCATGGATATACCTCTGTCTCTCTCTATCTGGGTTTATTTCTTTCTCTCTCTAGGTTGATGTTTCTCTTTTATTCGTTTGTTTAATTATGGGTATCATAGGTGGAAGAGTTAGAAACTTTTTTTTTTTTTTTCATTTTTCTCTTTTTTTTTTGTTTGTTTGATTATGGGTATCAAAGGTGGGAAGAGTTAGATTGTTATACGACTAAGTGTAGGCCATGCTATGTATATACCTCTCTCTCTGTTTATATCATTTTATTATTATTTTTCAATCTTTTCTTCCTAGTCTATTTGTTTTATGGTCACACTCTCTCCCTGTCTCTCTCCCGCTCTCACTATATTTAGAGTTTTAAGCTTTTCTGGCTGATTTAGGTGGTTTTTGAGCTATGTTAAGTTATGGGTGTTTTGTTTCTGGCATGCTTAGTTTTTGACCTTTTTACGTGTTAAATTTGATGAACTCAGCAGCTAAACTGCACAAGTATCTCATATATCAGAAAGAAGGACATAATTACTTGTTGGCAATTATTTTTCAATAAAATTTCTCATTTTGGTTACTGTTATTCAATCATAGTTGTACTTAACTGGTGCTTTTACATTTCAATCACATTGTTGCATTATTTTTTCCCCTTGAATTAAGAATGATATATTTTTTTGAATGAGAATTTGTTTTTGCATGTTTATTAAAGCCTTGGTGGATTTATGTCCCTTTTTCTTTTTGACAAAATTGGTGGATTTTGTCTCTCTCAATAGGAAAAAAATTGATTTTTCAGAGCTCCTCTAGGGGGCCAATCTTACAGCATAAAGTTCAAATCATATTCCAATGAAAAATGGAAATGGAATTATATCACTCCTTTCCTTTCAAATTATTCTATGCTAAATTTCTCAAAAAGAAAAAAAGAAAAAAAGAAAAAAAAAGGTTTACAGGATGCATCCTCTGAAATGGCTTACCTTTTTGGTGAAAAGGGAACATGTAAGGACCAGTGGTTTAACTTTTAGAACAAGGACTCGGGGTGGGACTCGCTGGGTTCTTGTGCCTGAGTCGGGAATCTTGGACTCTGTCAGAGACTCGACCAAGTCCCCAAGAAACAATATAAAATTATAGGGAGCTGGCAGACGTTGCCGGTACCCCCTGGTTCGGTTCTGGAATCAGCAGTGTACGAATAACTCGGGCTGTTCCGAGACAGACTCCTTGAGTTTTAATTCGCTGGTAAGGACTGCTACTGATGCCAGCTTGATCTTAGAGACCCCAAAAAAGCTCCAAGAAATAAACTTCAAATAATATTGTCAAATGAGCAATTTATAAGAAGATGGTCCATTTTCTCGCACTATTATCAATGTTTAAGAAGGTGGTCCTCTCCTTAACTTCCCTAAACATGAAATATAACTTTGAGATTTGGAAGTTGTGGTATTGGTGGTGATCTCAGATCAATAACCACATTGACATAGTCATCTAACTAAATGTTAACATCCTTAGTGGTGTTAGGGTGCTATCGAATATATCCAGACTCTGAGGCTCCTTGAAGAAAGACTTAGCTGAGAACATACCACAATTGGCCCACCTTTCAGATCATTTCATACCTTCAAATCATATTTTGGAATCTAGATGGTGGGATTAAATGGGGCTTGGGGACCATAAGATTTGGGTTGATTTAATGTGTATTCATGATTTTTGGACTGACTAAACTTTTGGAATTGTATATTCTGAGGATTCTTATTATAGATTGTTTTTGCAGAATAGGTAGGAGGACTATTTAGGGTCCTACCCTCATAGTTGAGGTTTCATTCTTGGGATTAGCTATCGTAGCTTTTTGCGCTCTGGATCCATGAAAGCTCCCTAGGTGTTTCTCAGGAAGATCTTTATGCAATATTTGTTTGTGAGGATACACCTACTATTTCATGGTACTGGTTTTAGAAAGCTTGAATCCTCCAATATGTTGTTCTTTTATAGCCCATTGTGATGATTATGCCAATGAGATGAGAGCATTTGAATCATGTGGTTCTTCAAATCTGTAGATGGTTTATTGCTTGCTGTATTCTGAATTTCCTATTAGATGGGTTAGTGGTTTTGAGTTTATATTTTGTATTTATGCCTTTATGTAGGACAATCTTATTCTTCTGTTGTCAAGGTAGGCACGCATAGATTAATCTTTTGTTATATCTCGCAAATATCATTTCAAAAGTGGGGGAACATTTCCAAAATTCGCAATGGCACACATTGTTTTATGTTGGTTGACGTTAGGAAAGTGGAAACAAATCTATTTTGTAAAATCCTGAATGTTTCTCAGTTCTCAATGGCTCATTGAGTGGTGATAGTTATCATACAAATAGAATTTATGCTTTTCAGGTGGATTTTTCTGGTATGGTTGATGAGGAGTTTTTAGAAAGGTTGGGTTTGGAGAAGGGAACAAGGAAAGTCGTTAATCACGAAGAGAGAGGAAAAGTTTTGAGGGCAATGGATGGTTGTAGCTTCAAAGCAGCAGCTGGAGGCTCTCTTTCTAACACCTTGGTGGCTCTGGCGAGGCTCGGTAATGGATCCAGTAGATGTCCTGATTTGCATGTGGCCATGGCTGGTAGCATTGGGAGTGATCCACTTGGTGGTTTTTACAGGTATATCCTCTCTCTCTCTCTTAATTTTTTTCAGCTAATAATTATGAGTTATTAGCCATCTTATCTCAAAACTCGGAAAAATAGAACAGTCCACCAAGGGGTTTCCGGACGTGACTGGCCGGTTTGGACCTGGACAATGCCCCAACAGGTCGTTCGGAAGTCTCAAACCTCGTGGCCTCTGAACCAGCATAGAAACCGTAGAATATCCAGTTAGATGCCTGGACCGGCCGAACCGGCCGGTCCAAACTGAACCTACAACTAGTCAAAACCTGTCAAAGCTAGTCTGAATCGGTCAGTTCAGGCTGGCCGAATTGTGTGAGCTAGTGTGAACTGGCTGGTTTAGGCTGGTTTTGACGACATCTATTTAATATTTTTTAAATTGTTTTTGTTCATATTTTCAGCCTGATCTGACCAATAAACTGGATGGTCCGACAAGGTAGCCTCATTGGTTCAATGACCTATCTGGTCCTGATAAAACTGGGTTTTACAAGTTTTCATCAATTTCTCTATTTTTCTTTTTAAGTAACAGCTAGGAGTTCTTAGCAATTTTATCCATCATAAAACAGTGTGGAAAAGAAAACAGTCTACCAAGTGGTTTTACATGTGCTCTTCTCTCTCTCCCTCTCTGGTTTTGAAAGTTAAAAGATTTTAAACTTTAACTATGTATCCACCAAAAAAGGGGAAAAGAACCATAACAGCTTTTATCCATCCCGTATTGCCTTCTCCTTCCTATTTTAACCATTCAGAGTCTGTAGGAGTTTTCTTGCATACTTCGTCTTATTACATACTCTTATTTTGTTTGTAGTTAAAATGAATTGAAGTCTCACTTTTGTGTTAAACTTCTTCAAGTAATTAAAAGAAATATTTCTTATCTCTGGGACTCAGTTCAAAGTTGAGGAGGGCAAATGTCAATTTTCTCTCAAGCCCTATCAAGGATGGTACAACGGGGACTGTAATTGTCCTCACCACCCCAGATGCTCAGCGGACAATGCTCGCTTATCAAGTAAGGCCCCCTTTTCATCTAATGTCGCATGTTGGGATCAAGGTGCATTAATTCTTTTGTTTTTTTTGAGTTCTTTGACCATTGTAATAAGTAGTATAGAAAGTTACAACTGTGAGCGATTATGAAATAATAGGCAATCCAGAACATACTCTACATCGAGAAGATGTCAAAAACAAATTACAAAAAGAGGGGAACTTAAGTTCTAAAAAAATTGCCAAAAATCCCCGTGGTGGTGCTTAGTGATGCTCCCTTCCTAGCTGGAGCATCAGCTGCTGCATTGGCTTCCCTGAAAATATGCCTCCACAAGACACGTGCAGCCTTGCAAATATGTGAAATCTCGTCAAAAATTTGTTTGAGTCTCCAGGGATAGGGAGCAGAGCCGGAAGCCCAGGAAATGACATTTTTGGAGTCAACCCTCGACAACTAATTCGGGACTCCAACTTCGAAGCAAGAATTTGTTGCCATTTACTGAAAATGCAATTGCTTCTGTTTAGGCATTGCCTTTTTGAAGGGTATTTGTTTGTCATTTGAACTTTAAGAGAGCAGAATTGATATTTGTATTAAAGACGATGCCTTTGTTTTCTAGTGAAAATTTCAAAATATCCTCCTCAAAACGATAAAATCACTCTCTGCCTTTTCAGTAAGGATATCAATTATACCATTTTGAATGACATAAGTACCTTCGGAAAGGCAATGTCTAGAAGCAGGCAATGACAATTTTAGTAAAAGGCACAGTTCACTTCCCTTTCTAAAATTCACCTATTGGTTCTTGTGCTGTGTGCACCATAGAAAATCTCTCTCACATACTCACACATTATACACATCTATGGTCTACTTGTCCATCTAGAGTTGCAATTCAAATGCAATGTTGCAAATGCTTCATTACAATCTATTGTGTGGTAGTCAAGATCTAAAAAAGTTGAAAATAAAGTCCTAATTAAGAATTTTAGAATAGAGAGTCAAAGTTGATTAAAACTGCGACTAATTCTTTTTGCAGCTGTACTGTTGTACCAACTGACAAAACTAACCTAGAATTTGTGTTAAAATGATTATAACTTTTTCAATGCCTGCATGCTTTCCAGAGTAGGGTTGCACTTATAAATGCCCCCAGTTTATCTGAAAGAGGGGATTGTAGCATCTCAGAGTATCCACCATCCCTCTTGTTATAAGTCGCAGACTTGATTAATGAGGAGTAAAGGAAAACAGAATGCAATTGTGTCACCAAACACATTATTTCATATCAAGAAAGTCTGAAAGAAGAAAGTGGGAATCTATGTGTGTATGTGTTTGTATTCTAACCAATTTGTCACCTTTTTTATCGTTTTATTCAGGGGACATCTTCAGCTGTGACCTATGACTCATGCTTAGCTGGTATCGTCTCAAAAATCAACATTCTTGTTATAGAGGGATATTTATTTGAATTTCCTCAGACAACAGAAGCAATCTTGAAAGCATGTGAAGCTGCGCATAAGCATGGGGCCCTAATTGCTGTTACTGCTTCGGATGTATCATGCATTAGAAGATACCATAACCATTTCTGGTAGGCACCATCGAGAACCTGAGATTTTGGTTTTGTTACTCTTGGTTGGGAAAGATGGTAGGATTCTGTGTTTGTGGTTGACATAGTAGTTGTTTACTGATGTATTCTTGGTTTATTTTCTAAGTTCTTTTGTTTTGCTTTTACCCCTCAAGACTTATCCCCTTTGTGATGAACCTATTATTCATTTATGATATTTTGAGGTTGTGAACCTGGTAAAGAAAGTGACATGATTTGACTTTTGCCTTTTGAGTAATTTGGGCGTATCACTTCACCATTTCAACAACTCTCTAACCATCATTGGCCATAACAGCATCTGTTCCACAATTTGACTCCAAAACCAGCTCTTTCTTTGTAGTAGTGTTCGAAAGCTTGGCGAGTTTGACTTGGACTCGATGAGTTACTCGGACTCGGCAGGCTGCCAAATCCAGAAGAAAAAACTTGAGAAGCAGCCGAGTCCTTCTAGTCCAAAGTTTTATTTTTAACCATTGTTAAGACTAGGCCAAGTCTCCGAGAGAGTCTGCCGAGTCAACTTGGTTGACCCAGGCTTGTGACCGTATCAGGTCCTGACTTAAATCATCAATTTGTAGTATTTCCGGAAGCCACTACAGCCCATTCCAACAATGTAATCCACACATCTCCTCGCGCTAAACTCACGAACACTTGATTAACTATTTTTATTTATCTAGACCTGAAACTCTCAGGCAAAATTCCAAATACAAACATATTTCCCTTGCCTCTCTACTAAACCAAAATCTCCTGCTCTTCCTCACCATTGTGAGGGATGATTGACTGAAACTCTCAATTCTTATTGCTTCTTGGCCAGGGAGATCATAGAGAGATATGCAGATATTTTGTTTGCAAACAGTGATGAGGCAAGGGCCTTCTGCAACTTCACTTTAAATGAGAACCCAGCATCAGCCACAAGGTATCTCAGCCACATGATTCCTCTGGTCTCAGTCACTGATGGCCAACATGGGTCCTATATTGGAGTAAAAGGAGAGGTTGTGTATATACCTCCATATCCATGTGTGCCTATTGATACGAGTGGGGCGGGGGATGCGTACGCTTCAGGTATTTTATACACTACCATGATATTCTTTTCGAGGTATGTTATGTGGTATATGTTTATCTTATGGGGTACTTTATATGGTACATGTATTTCATGTTATATATGTCATCATCGTCATCATTGAAGTCTTATCGTAATTATTTAGGGTCAGCTACATGAATCATATTCCTCCATTATTCTCCATTAAGGATCATACTCTCAGTAAGACCAAAAGTTACCATATCTTCTTTCACTACTTCTACAAATATATATTATCATCATCAGAGCCTTTTTCTAATTATTTGGGGTTAGCTACACAAATCCTGGTCTGTCATCTTCTCTATCAAGGGACATACCTTTTATGAGGTCATAAGTTTCCATATCTTTTTTCACTATTTTCAAACATGTCCATTTGGGCCTACCCCTTGTCCTTTTTTAGCCTTCCACTTGAACCAACTCGTACCTTCTAACTGGTTATGTACTGGATTTATACTTCACATGATCTATCCACCTAAATCTACTTTCTCTCATCTTATTGCCTATTAGAGCCACACTTTAGTTCTCCCTAATGTTTTCATTACAAACTCTATCCCTTATGGTCTTGCCACTCATCCATCTAAAGATCATCATCTTAGCTACACTCATCCTATAGGTATGTTGTTTCTTGACCGCCCAACATTCTGCCTTATAAAGCAAAGCTGGTCCCACAGCTATCATATAGAACTTATCTTTTAGCTTCATTTGTATGCGGCAATCTTATAAAACTCTAGTTCTTCATCTCCATTTCCCCCACCCAGCTCTAATTCTATATGAGACATCTTCCTCAATCTCTCTATTTTCTTAGATTATCGACCCAAGATATCGAAAGTACATTTTTTTTGGTATTCTTGGCCGTCATTCTTAACTGCTTTCTTGTCTCTCTTATTATTACTAAACTTATATTCCATATATTCTATCTTAGTCTGGCTAATTTAAAACTTGTTTTCCATATTCTTCTATGGAAAACACTACAAAACTCCTACAGGTGAAGTTCTACAGTACTTCACCTATAGCTTTATCATCGTTCAAAGTTTATCAACGGTCACAAATGTCTGATAGTATTTGAATTTCAATTTTTTTTTACGAATCATAATGATCTGAAATCTTGTAGGTGTGTGCACCTTAGTTAGATGCACATGAATAAAATATAAAGGAAATAATTTGAATGATAAAAATTATGCAAAATACCCCTATAAAGTTTCAGGGGTAATTTTATCATTTTATTTTATGACTCTTATTTTTTTAATATTTTATTTTGGTGCGACTTGGTCATATGTACACATGCCCCAAATGTTAGATAAATCTGATTAGTACAATAATTATAAAAATTCAAATACTACTGAACAACTGTGACCGTGTGATGAACTTTGAACGGTGATGAGGTGTAGGTGAAGTATTGAAGAACTTCATCTGTAGGCGTTTTGTAGATGCTACACTTTTTCT